ATATACTTACATAGTGTAAGTCAGTGCGATCAGTAGGCCGAGGAGATGTCTGACAAACAATCCAATAGGATTAAGATGGCAGAAATCGGAAACAAGGCATAAGTATTAAACGTGCCATGTTCAACAATTTAAAAATGGTATGCTATTACATAAATAGAAATATAGTGCAGTGAAAGTGTGATAAAAATGCACGGCAACGAAGAACAACTAGTAGTTTATCCCACAGTCTGTCCCTTTATCAAAGCGTATTTCTGAACCATATACTGTATAGCCCTATTACCTATGTTAAGAAGCCCTCCGAAATAATTCAGTTTTACATAGTTTGTGGAAACCCCAGGGAGTTGGGAGCTTTCTTAATCTCCCCAGAGAATGCAGATATGTTGATCTTGCCCATTTGTCCAGTGGTCCCTGAAGGCCCTACTCAGATGAGCAAACGTGGCAGGGCATAGGAGGTGAGATGGACCTTTGGATGAGGGTCCAAGGCCATGTAGGGCTTTGTATGTGATGGCCAGCCAGTACCTTGAATTGAACCTGGTAATTAATGGGCAGCCAGTGTAGTGACTGCATTACTGCTGCCCATGTACTCTACCACTTTGGCCCTAGAGCACATGTACACTGCCACTTTGGCCCCACTTTGACCCTTCCTCTCCCCCTCCAGTGTGCTTTGGGCAGGAGAAGAAAAGATGACTTCTCCCTCACATGTAGGGCTTTTGTAGGAGGTTCTTGCAGCCGTGGGGATCCCCGCACAGCGAATGTGGAAGAGAAGCAGGGGCATTTGCCAAAGAAAAGAGAAGCATTTGCTGTGGCTGATTGGGTACCCTGATTTTTAGAGGCTTCAGGGCCTGTAAGGTGTATTTCAGAGGCCTCGACAGCTGTGTTCCCTCTAAGCTGAGTTAGTGTGAGCTAGCTCACAGTTTTTTAGCCTCCGGCTCACAGATTTTCTCTTAGCTCAGGAAGGATGGCTCCCGAGCAGACTAATTTATGCAGGAGCCAAATCGCTCGCTCACAGCTTTAATGCCAGTAGCTCATGAAGTAGAATTTCTGTTCACAAGACTCCACAGCTTAGAGGGAACATTGCTCGACAGTCACGCCAGCCCTCAAGGCTATAGTTACCGCTTTCATGCGCACTGTCAACGGCTGCGCCTTCTGTGTCCTGTGGGCGGTTTCCTTACTTGACATTTACTTGCATTCTTTTGACTCACTTTTCTCTGCTCAGAGCAGATTCAAAGTCGTTCATGTTGTCAACAACAACAGCCATCCAATACCACAAACATCTTACCTAGCAACAAATCTACTTGCCATCCATGGGATGAGGTGGGGGCAGAACAGGTGGCGCGGAACAGCTCTGCCTTTGATGGCGACTCTTTCTTCCCCAGGCACTTCCTTTCAGGAGGCCGCTTCCCTTTAAGCAGCTGGGGAAAGGAAGGGGCAAGGCGGGTGGTAACAGCTTGATGGTGGCATTCTCTCCCCAGGCACACATCCTTAGGATCCTGGGAAAGGTACTCTTGAACCAGAGTATTTAATTTCTGAAGAAGACCTCCTTTTGTTGCTTCTTCTGGGCCTTGTGACATGAGTTTAGTCAAGTCAGTGTACACTGTGCAGAATATGTCTGATGCATTAGCACCTGCTCCTTATGAAAATCTGTATATTATTCTGTATACATTTTAAAAAATTTGACAGTCACGTAAAAGTTGATTTGACCTAAATGAGTATTTTCACAGACCGCCTCTTTTGGTAATGACTTATAAACTTTTAAGTTGCTTTTCTAAACCTACAGAAGAAACTTCCTTCCACTCTACTGCTCAGTGCCACTTCTCTTAGATTCTGTTTTTGGAGTAGAAAGTGCTTATTCTGTGCTAAACATTATCCTGACCTCTGGGCAAGTAATTAATGCTAGCAATCGACTGCTTCTTCTGGAAGGACATGGTTGATTAGAGATAATTAAAACTGGTGCAGAGTTAATTCTTAATCTTCAAAGAACATGCAGTCATTTGAATGCTTCTGCTATTCTTAGGTTTTCTCAGTTTCCTTGAACTTTCTCTTTGGCCAAATATGACTTAACAGAAGGGCCACCTGGCCTGGTCTAATAGGAGAACTCTGAATCTTAAACTTGGAGCTGTTCATTACTAGGCAAATACTTCAGGAAGACACAGTCCACTACATCAGATCTCATGCTAGTATATTCCTGCCACTTAGCCCACCCTAAAAAGCAGTTTATAGTTCCTGAATCTCTGTGTTTTGCTAAAGGCTGTACCTTCCTCTGGCATGTGCCTTTCCCTTACACCTACTTTTTTTTGCCCCCCGTAGGGGATTTTTTATTGCATTTTCTATAAACTACAAAGAAATAAGGAAGGGTATACTACAAACTACAGGTGAAAGAAAAGAAAACTTCTAAAAACCCAAGAGATGGTGGTCATTCACAATGCTTACAAAATTGGCTTATAATACATTGGCTTATACTTGCTACATTAAGTGAGTACATAATTCTTATTGCTTATAACAGCATCTCCAGCAAAAATGACTATATAAAGAGCTCTAAAGAGAAATGCTTCAAATTCATTTAAAATAGGATCTACAGAAAATCATAACTCATTTTTTCTCCTTTTTGTTTATCAAACGATAGCTTAGTTTAGGGGCAGCCGCCCCCAGTTCAGAAACTGAATCCTCATCGGAAGGTGCCAGTTCTCCTCCTCCTTCACTTCCCTTGCTGCTGCCATCTTCATCTTTATCCTTCTCCCCTGCTGGACTGGCATGTTGATGTAAAAATTTGTGTGCCTTTGCAACACAGTTAATTCTTTCTTTCTTGTCTTTAAAATTGAAGAGCATGCCTTCAGGAACAGCCCATCTGTAGGGAATGTTACTTTTCTGTAAAAACAGTGCTGAGTCTCTGTATTTCTTTCTCTTCGTCCTTATTTCAAATGGAACATCCTTCAAAACTTTTATTTCTTTGTCTTTGATCTTCAGGTTGGCTCCATTTGTTGCTTTCAAAACTTGATCTCTTACTTGTCTCCTGGAGAATCTCACCACAATCTCTCTGGGCAGATTATTCTTTCTTGTGAAGTCAGAATACAATCTATATATCGTGTCTATTTCATTTTGTAAATACTCTGCTTTTAAATCTGTAACCGGACCCAGTAAATCGCACATAGTCTGTTCTAGATCTTCCCCTCTTGCTTCAGGGACCCCCTGAAATCTTAAGACATTGCTTGCTTTTTCCATTTGCAGCTGTAGAAGTTGCACCTCCTCAGTTGCTCGCTCTTTTCCCATCCCCTGCATTTGTTTCTGCAGCTTTTGTGTGTTGGCATCCACTTCTTTAAGCTCTTGCTCCATTTTTTCTGTCTTTTTAGCAGTTTCATTTAGTTGGCTTTGCTCCAGCAGACGGTGCAAAGCCTCAGTCAGCATATTTTGGAAGTCTTTGGTAGTGTCCTGTCTAGGACCAGAACTTGCTGGGCTGGCGTTTCCGGCAGGGAATTTCAGTTTTGATTGCTTGTCCTCCTCCTCCTCCTTCAGCACCATGTTTCGGAATTGTTTACTTTTTAGAAATTGTTATCAAAGTCTCAAGATACTTTAAAATTGTTTGGTAAGTTCTCAAAAGTTCTTTATTTTAGTTTGCTCACTTTTTCAATCCACCCCCCCTTTATGATATCGTTTATCAGTCTGCTTTTTCTTTCAAGGGGGAGTTCCCCCCCTCGTTCTATTAAGGGGAGGCTTTCAGGTTGCTTTCTGGTGTCTTTGCTTAGACAAACATTCACTTTTCCATGTAGATCTCGCTTTTCTCAGTTAAGTTGCCCGGCACCCAAGCGCTTGTCCCGGTGTGCTTTCCCTTGTCCATTTCGGAAATCAGCAGCAGGACCGTCGGGGCCCCTTGCCAGTCGTTTGCCGGAGGAAGGGCCCTCCTAGTGCCCCATGGCTATGGAGCCCATTGCAAGGGCTCCGGGGGGGGATGCGTACGATCGCACCCCCTCCCATCTGCTGATTCACAGCCCATGTCTCCTGGAGCTCTGAGAGATTGTGGCTGCCATTTAGGAAGCCAAAACCGGAAGTCCCCTTGCACCTATTGTTAGTAGAATGAATACATAGGATCCAGCCCATTATAGTGAGAAACATGATATTTTTACCAGTGGTGGTGGCAAAGGAAATTATATGTTGGAGAAGCTTGAGGAAGGAAGTAAAGCAGAGCATATGCAGATGTATTCTACTGCTGTGGTTGCTGTTCAGTGGTGCCTGGATTGGTTAGTTTAGTGTAGTGGTTAGGAGCGCGGACTCTATTCTGGGAGAACCTGGTTTGATTCCCCACTCCTCCACATGCAGCTGCTGGGTGACCTTGGGCAAGCCACAGTTCTCTCAGAGCTGTTATCTCAGGAGCAAGCCACAGTTCTCTCAGTGTTGTTACCTCAAGAGCAGTTCTTGAAAGAGCTCTTTCAGCCCCACCTACCTCACAGGGTGTCTGTTGTGGGGAGAGGAAGGGAAGGAGATTGTAAACTGTTCTGAGACTGGGAGTGAAGGGTGGGGTATAAATCCAGTCTCCTCCTTGTTCATTTTGCTGCTGGGGAGTAGGATTGGGCCCCTACCAAAATGTATCCTGAAGTTTGACAAAGATGAAACCAAGGAGCAGGCTTGTGAACCACCAGCTGGAACTGGAATATGTGCAGCATCAAGTGACAGAAGATACAGGCTAGCTATAGGCTTGGATTTAGTCATGTGCAAACAGAAACCTAAATATGCTTAGTATAGTTCTGCTGGTGCAATATCTTGTGCAATACCTAATGGTTTATTCTCCATCTCTTATAATGCCCAGAAATTGTTTGTGCAGTGTCTTGCACAAGCCGAAAATAGTGCAGGGTACACTAGTATGAGGTTTTTTCTGCACCGTCTCCAAGGACCATAACATATGCAGAAATCTTCTGGTGGAGCCAAGCCATAGAATATGCCAATCGTATATCATCCGCTTAAAGATAACTTTCTCACTGGCTGATATCCCTGCCTCTTTTCATTTACAGATGTGATGCCGATCCATCAGCACTAGCTAAGTACGTTCTTGCTTTGGTGAAGAAGGATAAAAGTGAGAAGGAATTGAAGGCGTTGTGTGTTGATCAGCTGGATGTATTTCTTCAGAAAGGTAAGATCTTGTAAATGAAAGCTTCAGTGAGCTGTTTTAATAGCATTTCTGAATTCTTGCTCAGTTCAGGATTCAGTTCACTTGATTTTACTATATCTTGGATCGAGCACGTTCACATTAAGTAGAACACAAGGTACAATGTGGCATTATTGCTGCATAGAAATATCAGTGTTACACACATACAATAATTACTCATATTTAATGCTGTTGTAGAACTAGCTGTCCCTGTGAGTTTCTCTTGGAGGCTTTCACGAAATCTATTCTCTGTAGTCCTTAGATTACTGAATGTGGGAAAACTACTTTGCAAATGTTGCAGAGTTTGTACTTATTGCACCCTTTCCATACTCTGCTCCATATCCCTCACCCATGATAACTGAAGTGCCTTTTCCAGCAGTTTAAAAAAATATGACTTTAGCTTGAATATTTCATTCTTAGTGTGGCTGAACATATTCCATGTGTTTCTTTAAGTACCTCTTTCTACAGTGCATTGTGTTACCCATGCCTCCTTTCTAACCCTTAATGTTCTTTGGTACCTGTGACAGCACTGTGGTAATGGTGGGAGGGTGGCAGGCTCAGTGCAGTGAGTGCCGGTTGTCTTCTTTTTGTGCGGTTGCTACTTCTTGTGTGCAAGCCAGTTACACAGCTGTTGTGAAGGAATCTTAGAATCCATGCAGTGCTAAACAGAAGAGTTATGTCTCAAGTGCTAATTTGTGTACCCTTTTGGTCACTGTTTTAGAGACCCAAATATTTGTTGAAAAACTTTTTGATGCTGTGAATACAAAGAGCTATCTACCTCCACCAGAGCAACCATCGTCAGGAAGCCTGAAATTGGACTTCTTTCAGCATCAAGAAAAAGAAACGAAAAAGGAGGAGGTAGTGCTGATGCCTGATGCGTGTCGTTTGGTTTTGTATATTTGCTCTGCCCTTTTAATAGGAACTGCATCTAAATGTCAGTTGACTAAATGAGGCCATGCTATTCTTTGCAACGAGGCAGTTTATTATAGCAAAATAACATAAAAGTCAAGTAGGTAACATAAAATAACATAAAAGCCTCAAACGGTAAGCAGCATTTATTTCAGTATGAGTTTTTGTGAGTCACAGCTCACTTCTTCAGGTATCTTGACAGCTTGCGCTTGGAAGATATGATTGGTGGATCCTGTATCATATTTCATAGGAGTCGAATACTGGAGATACAAACAGCATTTTTTTCTACTGATGTAATAACAGTTTTCTGCATTGTGCCTGCATTCTATATCATGTCTATGTTCAGATTTCTATAATCATAGTCCAAGTATATTGCTTTTTACATGGCTTATCATACTAATAGCATTGATTTACACTGTGTAATCTGCACTGATCCTTAGTGAGAAAGGCGGACTGTAAATATAGTAAAAACAATGAATAAATTACTGACAGGCTGAGCTTACAAGGCGCCAGTATACATTGGTGTAAGAGTTGTATGGAGAACTAGTAGTAAGAGCAGAGCAAAGCAAAAGTGTGACACAAAATTTCTTTCCTATTGGGTGTTTTTTAGTGATGTCTTCTCCAGTATGGCAAAGATGAGATGATGGATAGCTCAGGGCCTGAAGTTGTATTGTTCTACAGAAAAGCCTCACAGTCACCTTCAATTTTATCTGGTTACTGAAAGAAGGTGTCTGTATCATAGGTCCAAGTTTGATTTTCTTCCTTTATTTTCAAGATAATTAAGGACGACGAGCGAGAGAAGAAGTTTTCTCGAAGGCTGAATCATAGCCCGCCTCAATCAAGTTCACGGTACCGAGAAACCAGGTAGCCATTTGTGCTCATTCTTACCTTAAATGCATCAATAGAGCTACAAAGATGCAGATGAGCAAGCAGATTATATAAGGCTACATTGGGGGGGGGGGTTGCAATCTGTATGGTGCGTTTTTTTTCTTAGTTAAAATGTTAAATTTTCAGAAAAATGAAGATAAGTAATAGTTACATAATAATGTCAGTCTTGTACTTTTCAAGTATACTGGTATTCTCCCACTGAAGCTTTTCGTAGGGAAGGTGCTACTTACTGAAAACAAAGTAAATGGCCATGCAGTACAACATAGCCACATCAGGAATTCTTATCTGACAACAGCATATCTCTGCATCATCAGCTGTGGTTTTTCCCACCTGCTTGAATTTGGCTGTATAGGAAGAAAGTTTTAAATAGATAGTGCAGAGGGGTCAAACTGACTTGTTACGGGGGCCAGATCTGACATAAATGTCATGTTGTCGGGCTGGGCCATGTGTACCATAAAATGCTATGCCAGGTACCGGAGGTATAAACTTTATACAGGACACAGGCAAACCCAATTAATAATATTTTTTACACAAAATACAAACAAAATCAATTGATTCCTAGTAGTGAAAGCAATTGATTTACAGGGGAACCCACAAAAGCCTCAATAAATGTATCTAATCATACCTAAGACTGGGTTTTTCCCCAAGGGATACCATAAAAAGGGGAGTACTTTACATTTCCATCCATACCAGTTGCTTGCGGGCCAGGTAAGAGCCGTGGATGGGCCCGTTCCAGCCTCCAGGCCTTATGTTTGACACCCCTGAGGTAGTGGCTGAGTTGTGAAAGGAATAATCAGTATAAACTTCATACGCTTTCTGTAGGGGCAGTTGATAATGAAGCAAATGCTTGCTTATGCAAGAAGGCCTTTGTTCCTCAAACCCCTAACTGTGGACCAGATATCACACATACTAAGGTGATGCTGAAATATAGTAGGTGTATGTGTACAAGAAGCATGAACAAGCTGCACGATGCCTGCAACTGTGACTTCAGCACAGAGAGCTTAGGGGGCCTGGTGCAGGCAATATGGTGTGGGTGGCGTTCAGCATTTGCACTTCCCCTTTATTGTGGTTTACGATACAAGCTTGTGTCTGTTTTCCTGAGCGTGCGCGTGGTTTTTCACACAAAGGGTTACACTTTTGTCATTGTCACAAATTGGGTTGCTCAACGTCCATTTGTATCTAGAACTTAACTGTTGCTCATATAACGATTAACCCAAAATATTTAGAAGCAGGGATGAAAGAAAGAAAGACGAGCGTTCTCGCAAGAGAGAGTATGATCGGAATCCTCCCCGAAGAGAGTCCTATAGAGACCGCTACAACAGGAGAAGGGGCCGGAGTCGGAGTTACAGCAGGAGTCGCAGTAGAAGCTGGAGCAAGGAAAGGTTGCGGGATCGAGATAGAGACAGGAGCAGGAGTCGCAGCAGAAGTAGAACAAGAAGCAGAGGTAATTGGGGGGGTCTTTATTTTGCTGGCTTTCAGTATTTAAAAGCAAAGCTATTATATCTCTCTGCCTATCTCACATACTCACCATACCCATGATATGTTAGCTGTGAATTTATTTATCTATTTGAAAAAGTTGTCCAGCTTCTTTGGTCCCGGGCCGTTTCACTTTTGTTACCCTGTCACCATGTACCTTTTTCCCAAATGTTTTCTTGCAGAAAGGGATCTGGGGAAGCCCAAATATGACTTGGACAGAACAGAGCCACTGGAAAACAACTATACTCCCGTTTCTTCTGTGACAAACATTTCATCCGGCCACTACCCTGTCCCTACGTTAAGCAGCACTATAACAGTTATTGCTCCTGTTCATCATGGAAATAACACTACTGAAAGTTGGTCAGAGTTTCATGAAGAACAGCTGGACCACAACTCCTATGGAAGACCTCCACTGCCAAAGAAGCGTTGCAGAGACTACGATGGTAAGGCTCGGGGATGAAATCCCAACATTCCAGTTTCAGGCTAACACGGAGTTCTTGGTGCCATGTCAGGTATCAGTCACTAAATACATCGATTTGTTTCCCATTTTGCTCATGCCATTTCAGCTTGCTACCCTCGTTGAAATGGCAGCTTTTTCTGCTTGCTGTCTTTTCTGCTTTGTTACTTACAAAATCAGGTGCACTAATACATGGGTTGAGTGTAAGCAGGCGGTTTGCTGTTGTGTGAATGAACCTGAAGGATTCTTGGGCTCATGTGTTTCTTCTTTCCTCAGCCCTCCTGCACATGACAATATAATTAATTATTTCGTCTTTTACTGCAAACCATAGCTTTCCTTTACCACCAAGCCAGCAGATTATTATTATTATTTTAATTTGGAAGATTTATACTCTGCCTTCGAATTTAAAGCCAAATGTTCAAGGTGCCTCATGTCACTGTTATGAGAGAACTGAAACGTCTTAATACAAGGAAGATTAAAGCACAAAATTTAAGTCGGGGTAAGAATCTAATTTTAAAAGGCCTTTTGAAACCAAACGTTTAAGTGCTTGTTGGAAGTTCTGTATTGAGAAGGATATATGTGGTTGCTGGGGGAAGAAGTCCCCAAAACTAATGGTGGCTGCTAAAAAGGCCATCATGTAGACCCACCAGATCATACCACCCTAACTGTAGGTTCCCACAGCACAGCCACCTTTGTCAGTCTCCTAATGCAGGCAAGTGTACACACGTAGAGGTACTTTGAGCTGAAGGCATTTAGGGTTTAAAATGACTGAAACAGCACTTCGTATTGAACCAGCATAGCCTGTACAAAATAGTGGTCCATGCTCATTCCAGCAGGCCCTGATTTACATTCTGGATGCTGCATTCTAAACCAGCTGATACTTTGGGGGCTGTCTTCAAGGCTTATGTGGCTACCGCCAGGTCCTCCAGGAACAGCCACTGCTGACAAACCATCCAAAACTGATTGAAAAGCATTCCTGGTCATTTCTGTCGCCTGTCGGATCTGGGAGGGATCCAGGAACACCCCCTGACTGTGAGACTGGTCTTTAAATGGGGCTGTACTTGAGAGGAAGGTTGAATGCCTTTTCTTGTATCAGTTTTATCCTCAATCTTCAGCACTTCCTCCCCCCCCTCCAAACCGGAATTCCTAAGGAGCGATTGATTCTAATTTGGAAAACTGGGCTCTGGATCATTTGACAGTATTCCTCTTGTGCTTCTCTCCCACCGCTGTGGAGGCTGTTTTTCTCTGTGGCGCCTGCTTCATCCACCTGCTCAAGGATTCCAGGAAGAACATTGGTCTCATGTGACTAGGTGCGCTAGCGTCAGGGGAGGCAAGCGCTGTAGAGGACAGCAGCCTCCAGATTGGCCGGAGAGAAGGGCAAGGGGGAACAGTGTCATCAGACCTCAACCCTGCTTTCCAGGCAAAGTGCTAGCTGTGTTTTTGGCAGTTTAGATAGAGCAGCCAACCATGGTTTGCCCTCAAGGTCAGAAATAAAAATTGCACTGTTGCTCATGAGCATATGGATCCCCTCTCCTCCAGGTTATTCACACCGCATTAAATATGGCTTTCTGTTATGCCTCTGTGTCTAGGAGTCAAAATTGTTTTGCTGCTGAACTGGTGTTGCCAGCTCTGGGTTGGGAAATGCCTGGGGATGCAGGGGTGAAGCCTGAGGAGGGCGGGGTTTGAGGAGGGGAGGGATTTCAGTGGGCTATAATTCCATACAGTCCACCTTCCAAAGCATCCATTTTCTCCAGGTGAACTGATTTCTGTTGCCTGGAGGTCGGTTGTAATAGCAGGGGATTTCCAGCCTCCCCCTGGAGGTTGACAGCCCTACTTGGAGATGAAGCGAGGACAGGAGTAACAGGAAATAGGAAGTGGGAGGAAAATAAAAAGAGGGTGTGGAAGAGCATGCAACTTTTGTCCCAATATGCTTTGCTTGGCTTGTAAACCCTCAGTAGCCACTTCCCATGGACTTTCTGACCCTTCTGAAGTTGTGAATCCCGGAAGCTTTCAGTGCTTTGCCCTTGGGCTTGTGGGCAAAAGAACAGGGGGAGGCAGTTTAAAAGAGTGGGTTACTTGTGTGTGTTGTGAAAGAATGGGATGACAGCATCTTAAGCCCTGTTGTGGTTGCAGTCCAGAAAGGAAGGAGGAGGTACCAGGCAGAAAAGCGCCAGGTGAACTGATTTCTGTTGCCTGGAGGTCGGTTGTAATAGCAGGGGATTTCCAGCCTCCCCCTGGAGGTTGACAGCCCTACTTGGAGATGAAGCGAGGACAGGAGTAACAGGAAATAGGAAGTGGGAGGAAAATAAAAAGAGGGTGTGGAAGAGCATGCAACTTTTGTCCCAATATGCTTTGCTTGGCTTGTAAACCCTCAGTAGCCACTTCCCATGGACTTTCTGACCCTTCTGAAGTTGTGAATCCCGGAAGCTTTCAGTGCTTTGCCCTTGGGCTTGTGGGCAAAAGAACAGGGGGAGGCAGTTTAAAAGAGTGGGTTACTTGTGTGTGTTGTGAAAGAATTGGATGATAGCATCTTAAGCCCTGTTGTGGTTGCAGCCCAGAAAGGAAGGGAGGAGGTACCAGGCAGAAAAGCAAAGGGAAGATACTTGTGAAACAGATAACAGTCAGTGTACAGATATCATGGCTCAAGAACTGGCATCTGTGGATGAACTTGGTATAATGAAATGACTAGTATATGCCTCAGTGTCTTCTGTTCATTGCGCTCTAGAAATTTAAACATCATTACAAGTAGAGAGACCCATGAGAAACTCATGGGAGAATTCCCCCACTGTAGCTGTCACTGGGACCACTCCACCCCAACATTGCCTCTGGGCCTGGTGCAGCTCCTGGCCTCTGTTGCTGGGCCCCCTGCAGCTTTCCTTCCCCCAATCACTGCAGCTTCCACTGGGGCCACTGTGACTCCCAGCCACCCCCCACCAACACCCCTGCAGTATCCCTCCAATTGCCACAGCCATCACCAGGGCTGTCATGACTCCCAGCCGCTCCACCGCCACTTGCTGTCACCCCACCAGGCCTGGTGCGCCTCCTGGTCTCTGCTGCCTGACCGACTGATGTTCCTGTGCCCTCCCCATCTTACTCCTGGAGACTCCCAACACCTGGAGGGAGGTATATGCGTTGTGTGCACATCCACAGACCATGTATTTTTTTTCAGCATTTTCAGATTTTTCTGCAAACCTGGTGAATCTCCCAAGCTTGCAGAAGTATCTGTTTATAGTCAGTATGGTTCCGATCCGCAGATTTAGATATCTGCGTATGGAGTCATACTTTGTCTATGTCGGTTCAGAGGTCTCTGATACTCTCAATTGGAATACATGGAATCAGTATTGTGGACTTTAAAGTGAAGCAATAAAAGGTATACAGAAAGAATGACTGGGGTTTTTTGCAATGTGTTTGTTGAGTCGCAACTCAAATCTAGGGAGGTTGTAAAATAAACTACGTAGGAAAGTGTTAACTTGTGCTGCTCCAATTACAGCCAGCTGTCCTGGGACCGTTTTGTTTTTCAGAAAAGGGTTTCTGCATGAGAGGAGACATGTGTCCTTTTGATCACGGAAGTGACCCTGTCGTCGTAGAGGATGTGAATCTTCCAGGCATACTGCCTTTTCCAGCACAGCCCCCGGTTGTTGAAGGACCACCTCCGCCGGGACTCCCGCCACCACCACCTATTCTTACTCCTCCTCCTGTAAACCTCAGACCTCCAGTTCCACCTCCAGGCCCTTTACCACCCAGCCTTCCACCTGTTACTGGTAGGCTGCGTCTCTTTAATTTTTTTTTAAAAACGTGCATACATAATGCCTTATTGTTTTATATTGAAATTATATAATGTGCATGAAGGCTGTTATTCTGTGACTAGCTACAGATTTTCTTCACTGTTGTCCTAATGCAGAATATGTTAAGTGCGTTTGAGTTTTGTTCACCCAGTGGGACTTCGGGACGCTTTATAGCTCCTGCAGGCCAGTAATAACTGCCTGGGAAGCTAATGTTGATTAAACTGATATACTCGCCATAATAAAACTACAGCAACAAATCGATAAAGCCATAATAAATACTGTAAATCAAAATACAAAATAGTTCAGCTGACAGCTTTCTGAAATAAAATAGTTTTCGTGTGCTTTCTGGTAGGAGATAAGGCAAACTTCTGGGCAGAGACTTCTACAGTAGAGGCTACCAAAGAGACTGTGGAATTAAAGTAACATGCTGCAACTCATAATGTGGCCCTCTGCAGACAGCTTTCTCTGTGAAGGCTTTGAAGAGGGGGGTACATTTTCAGACACGCAAGGACCAGACCATGGAGTACGTTGAAGTCAAAGCCTGCACCTTGAGTTGTGCTGGAAACCAAATGGCTATCAGAGACTTTTAAGGACCAGTATTACATGCTCACTGTGGCCTGCTTGGCTTCAGATTCCAGCCACTGTGTGTTGTTGTTTTTGTACCCCCCAAATGGGATGTTTTTTATTGCATTTTCTAATTACATACTAAAAACTACGAACAGAAAATCCAGGAAAGGGGAACTACATCTATGGGAGAAAGTAAAGAAAACCCTCTAAAAACCCAAGAGAGGGTGATCATACATACGTTTACAAATTTACCTTTAAACTTAAACACAAGTTAACTTTCATTGAAAATGATCATCTATCTAATTTAACATAAGTGCTTCATCAACATTTCTAATTTCATAAGAAGATTGTAGAACGATATACCATACACTTCTTTTTAGGTATTCCAGAGCACATTGACAATCTATTTTTTCCCCTTTCTGTGTCTCAACTGATAGCCTTGTTTAGGACCCGCTGCCCCCAATTTAGAGTCAGAGTCTTCCTTAGAGGATCCAGCCTCTCCTTCTTCCTCGCTCTCTTTGGCGTCATCGGTCGCACCTTCTCCTGTCGGACTGCCGTGCTGACACAAAAATTCACAAGCCTTTTCAACAGAGTCAATCCTTTCTTTACCATTTGCATATCTGAAGATTAATCCCTCGGATGTTAACCATCTGTAGGCAACATGCTTTTGTAGAAATAGAGTCAAGTCTCTATATTTCCTTCTTTTCCTTCTTATCTCGAATGGAACATCTTTCAGTATTCTTATATCTTTGTCTTTTATCTTCAAGGTAGCTCCATTGGATGCTTTCAGTAGTTGGTCTCTCACTTTTCTTCGAGAGAATCTTATTGTAACTTCCCCTGGCAGATTATTCTTTCTAATAAATTCTGAATACAATCTGTTGACCGTATCTGTTTCGCTTTGAAGTTGATCCGATGTAATCTCTGCCATGGGCGCAAGAGCGTTGCCGACAATCTGTCTCAGATTCTCTCCTTTCTCTTCCTGGATACCTTGAAGTCTCAAGACATAGCTTGCTTTTTCCATTTGAAGCTGTAATACGCGAGACTCTTCGATTTGACACTTTATTTCCAGTGCCTGCAGTTTTTTGTCCATCTTTTTTGAGTTGGTATCAATCACTTTAAGCTCCTGCTCTGTTTTTTCGATTTTTTGTGTGTTTGCAGCCATTTGCGCTTGTTGTGTGTCCAGCTTGTTGTCAGTTGCCATAATTTTCTCCAGCAGAGGGCGAAGTGCTTCCAACAAGAGCCTTTGAAGTTTCGCTGTTGAGTCCTGTCTAGGAGCAGAACTCGCAGGGCTGAAACTTCCGGGAAGAAGCTTTGCTTTCGCTAGTTTATCAGCCACTGTGTTTTGAAGTTGCTGAAGTTTCTGGGCAGTCTTCAAGTGCAGCCCAATGTGGAGTTCATTAGAAGTAGTCTAACATAGAAATTACCAAAGTATGAGTTGTGAGAGGTAAAGCTTGATTATCAAAGAGAGAACATACTAGGTAAAGCTAGAAAAAGGCAGTCCTGGCCACAGTCACAATCACATATCAAGGCTGGGTCCAGGAACTCTCCAGTCTGCAATCCTGTACATTTAGGGGAAGAGTGACTCCATCTAGGACTGAATAAAGTTTGAGTCCAGTGATACCTTTAAGTCCAACAACACTGGGCTCAAAGTTTGTTCTGTTGCTTCGGATCAACACGGCTACCCAACTGAATCCAAGTAGGGTTGGTCATCTACCTGTTCCATGAGTTGAGACACACTTAACCCCATCAGTTTGGGTTTATCTGAATAGAGCTTAACTGTATTGGCCCCACTAATGATTCCAGGCAAGAACTGGAAGGGGTGAGAGGAAGCTGCAACCTTTGTTTCTCCCCTGTCACTGTTCACAGCATCTTTTTCTTCTTGGAGTGTATTGGAGTGCATCGCTTGGAACTTGTAAGCCCCACCCTGGACCTGCCTACTTATGCTGAGGCTCCACCTCAGAGGAATCCAGGAATTTTTGACTCTGCCTATGTACCTGTGCGGATATATAATATGCCTACCACCAAAAAGGTAAAAGTAAAGGTTTCCCTTGCTCGAAAGCCAGTTGAATCCGACTCTAGGGATGCGGTGCTCATCTCCGTTTCCAAGCTGAAGATCCAGCGCTGTCCGGAGACGTTTCCGTGGTCATGTGGCCGGCATGACTAAACGCCAAGGTGCACGGAACTCTGTTACCTTCCCACCGAAGCGGTACCTATTTATCTACTTGCAATTTCTTGCTTTCGAACGGCTAGGTTGGCAGGAGCTGGGACCAGAGACAGGAGCTCACTCCATCATGTGGTACTCAGGTCTCAAACTGCTAAACCACTGACCTTCTGGTCTTCAGTTCCAGCATCTTAACCACTGAGCTACCACAGTCCCTACCTCCAAAAAAAGATAGGCCAAATGAAGAAGGGCCTGATTGTCTTGGGGTTTTTTCCCTTTGATTTTTCATTAGAGTTTTGAAAATCCAGTACTTTCCAGTGTGCTTAGTTTTTTTTCAACCACATGGAGTATTACTATTGATAGTTTACTTTTAGACAATAATTTTGGCAGCTCTGTTTCATGCGTTTGCCAAATAAAGCGTGATTTAAGCAAGAATGGGCTAAAATTATTGGGGAAAGATGTGCTTCAATCTAGAGGCATGCATTTAGGGTTTTTTTGCTTGTGTTACGATGCTTGAGTAGTGGCATCTGTTCCTGAATGGAGAAGAATGCATCAATATGTTAACTTTGTGGTGATCTGATGTTGAATGACTAAATGCTTCACTTGTGGTTAGAGACTTAGTACATGCAATTTGAATGCTGAGGATAGTCTTAAATTCTAACCCACTGCAGGCAGCAGTTGGAAGCCTAGTGATGGAATCTTCTGTTCCGTGCTGTCTTTCCCACTGTTTCTGACGATATGGGGTCCCCAGCATGGTGCCTGCCAAGTGTTTTTAGAAAGTGGGAGGGCCAGATGAAAGCTTTGCCTAGCAAGGCATCTGACTGGCTGCGAAGCTTTTAAAAAATGTTACTTTGGCAGCAGCTGCCACGACGTCACAAGGATCTTTACTGTGTGACTTGATGATAAGCCACGGCAGCCATTCAGTGGCCGGCTCCACCCCCTGTGCCAGCCATTTTGTGGCTGCGCCCACCACACTTGTGTCAGAATTCCAAATGTGCCCATAGGCTCAAAAAGGTTGGGGATCCCTGATCCAGAACATACTTATGTACAAGATCTAACAGGGATTGTGCTCCATCTTACATGCGTGGTGGGTGACATTGTCCTTAGTAATTCATTATTTCTGTGTTGGGCAGGACCACCCCCTCCGCTTCCACCTTTACAGCCAGCTGGTATGGATGCTCCCCCAAATTCTGCAACCAGTTCAGTTCCTACAGTTGTAACAACGGGTATTCATCACCAGCCACCACCTGCTCCGCCCTCTCTCTTTACAGGTAGGATACTGGCATTGTTTCACCCCTGGTAATGAAGTCTCTGGTTATTGTGCCTGTATAGAATTTTGACTGTAATGCACATCATACAGGGTAAACTTTTATTGTCATGAGTTGTGGATTTTATAACATAAATGGGGGACCTGTGAGACTCATGGGAGGGGAATCCCGTTACCCCCCCCCCCCCAAATTGCTGAGCTGGCCAGGCTCCAGGCCCCACCACCTAACAGTGAGCCCAGCAGCCAGTGTCTGCTGCTGCCGTGCTTGGTCCCAGAGCAACTGCCAGTGGCCACTGTCACCTGGCTTGGTCCCGGAGCAGCTCCCAGAGTCCTCTTCTCCTGATCCTGGGCCCGCAGTGGCTGCTGGCATCCTGTACTGCAACTGGGCCTGTGAGAATTGGGGGGGGGGGATTCCCTCCCACACTTTCTTGCTGGGCCCAGCTGCTGCCAGACCCAGGAGGGCTCCCGGGTATGCCGCTACTGCTGGGCTCAGCGTGGCTCCCATGCTGCACTGCCACCACTGGTGGTGGGCCCGATGCGATTCCTGGGCTGCACCACTGCTGGCCCCAGCATGGCTCCCAGTCTTCTCTGACGAACACCAGAAGTAGGTGCATTCTGTGCACTTGCGTAGAGAACACTGTTTTACTATTGGGAGAATTAAACCCCTCCTTGTGTATTTCTTTTAAAATGTCAGATTTTTCTGTAAACTTCGTGGGTTACCCAAGTTTTTAGAAAAGTCTGTTTTGGGTAAGTGTGGCCCCAATCCACAGATTTGGGTATCTGCAAATGGGGGCTACACTTGGGAAATAGATATATAGCTGTAGGATAGCTTTTTAAAGTAACGGTTATTTTCACAATCAAGCCAGGATCAAAACAGCCATGAAACTATTTCTGTGAGCCTAATGTTGGATATGATTTGATGATCAGAAATTATTTGCTTAAGCAGCAGTCTTCCCATGGGAGACCTCTTTTTGAAACTCAGAAGTTCCAGAAGGCGTTTCTGATACGGAATAGGAATCAACTTTTTTTTTTAAATGGGAAGCTATAGTGGGCGAATACATGCTTCGTAACCAGGTGGTCTGTTGACCTGAACCAGATTTTTCCACAGTGGAAAGAATATTTTGTTATATATCCATTATTTTGGCTTTATGAATATCAAAAAGTCACATAGTTGTTCTGTTTCCTCTAAGCATACAACTAGTTTGGGATTATTGTAACCATTTGTTCATTGTCGATCTAACTAGATGATTTACCTTTTATCAGAGTCCTATGACACAGATGGCTATAATCCTGAAGCACCAAGTATAACCAGCACTTCAAGACCCATGTATAGGCACAGAGTGCATGTCCAAAGACCAAATTTGATAGGACTTACATCAGGTGATATGGACCTGCCACCAAGAGGTAATAGTGAAAGACACCTTCATTGTAGCTTTGAACTTTGCTGTTTTTGAAACAGGTGCTATACGTGGGGTAATGTTAGAAGAGTGTTGTCATGACAACAAATATTGGTCATCCGGGAACCAGGTCTTTGCCAGGTTCTATTGCCTAATTAGACTGCATGGGAATTCCGTTGGGAAAAAATTATGCTCTGTCCTACCGCTGTGTCTGCTGATTTGTCCCTTGGCTCAGGGAGCCTTTCTCCAGCACAAGAGGCTCTTCCGCCAGTGGGAGATCCTCTTGGACCAGAGGATGTCTCCTTGTGTTGGAACAGCGTGCTGCCTTTAGCTGAGCAGAGTGGTAGGGTGCAGCCCACCGATGACAACTGTCTGGAGGGGCCACTTCATTGCAAAACTGCTCCCCCCCTCCAAGAGGATTTAAAAAAATGAAAGCCTGTGAATGTTTATGGACAGTTGACTTAAAAAATGCTTATTTCAGAAGTCCTTCAAAGGTCTTAGCTGAATGCTGTTTTAGTAACGGTGGGATCTTTTAGTATGTTTGCACCAGTTATGCAACTGTTGATTATGTATGTTGATTTTATCATTTTGTATAATTTCCAAGCTGCCGTGGGAGTTCTTTTTGATACTGAAAGGCAGGGTTTTTTTTTTTTTAAAAAAACACAACTTCAAATGCATGCGTAGAGAAAATATGCCTTGGGTGCGTAATAGCTTTTTACTGATGCAAGAAAGTACTTTGTAGTCACAAAGTGTTGAACACATCTTCTTCAGAAGCAGATAAAATAACTGATCAAAAAAAAGTCTCCTCTTTTGGCCTTGTGTTTCCTTCCACGGTGGCTGATGCTAGACTGGTCTCACCGTTTGCTTTAAAACTATTCTGTCCCCCTTCTGGAAGGGGACAAAGGGTCAGCCGTGCTTAAGAACCACCTTGAATTAACCTTTTCAGGGTGCTCCTAGGTTGGGTTATGATGGCCTCAAGACTTCCTGGCATTTCCTGCATGGAGAAGTATCCCCATTATTTCATCACAAAAGCACCTACAGTGTCATGCCAGGTGTGTTACATTGGTTAAAAGAGACAGATCCTTAGTCGGTCGCACATTGTAGTGGAGCTCTTCCACTTCAAATGATCTTCGCTAACAGAACCCTTTTGTAATCAGGCTGCCCAGTTGAGTAATCAGTATAGAGCTGCTGCTTGCCTGTTGTATTTGGTTGCATTATGATACTGAGAAGGCCCTCCTTGTAATAATCCTATTGGTCTGGAATCTCATGCAGTATTTCACTGACAATTTGACCCATTACATGGTACATTATAAAGACAGAAGGTCTTAACATGGTAGTTGCTTCAGGATGTTGCAGAGGCTCCTGTAAAATTTTGTATGTGACATTTGCATTGAGGCTTCCATGACACACACAGTCCTCCCCCCCCCTTGTCTGTCCCCCCCCCCCCGAAAAAAATATTGGTAAATATCAAAGGAATCCCTCTCAGACTTCAAGTCATAAGCCATCTGCTAAATATCTAGAGTTGAAAAGAAATTTTGCTTTCTGGGCAATGTATTCTGTAGTTTCCCTGTGGGGTTTCTTGCACTTCTTTTTGAAGCATCTGGTTTTGGTAGCCGTCGGAGACCGATGCTGAACCAAAGGGACCTTGGGTTTGAAGGCATACAGCACGTAGTGTGTTCCAAAAATGTAATAAGTCAGCTGATGGTAATAAGGAGAGAAACTTGTACTATAAAATGCACAGACAAACATCCTTTAAAAATTAATCAGTATACTCTTTTTCTTCCACACACACAGAAAAGCCTCCTAATAAAAGCAGCATGAGGATAGTGGTAGATTCTGAGTCCCGAAAAAGAACGATTGGGGCAGGGGAAGGAGTTCCAGCAAAGAAGAATTGGTTTGACAAGTGAGTAGTTGCTATTAACTATATAATAATACATTAGCTGTGTTAATGCACTTAAAGAGTGATTAACACATGGAATTCACTGCCACAGGAGGTGGCGGTGGCTACAAGCATGGATGGCTTCAAGAGGGAATTAGATAAACATATGGAGTAGAGGTCTATCAGTGGCTATTAGCCACAAGGTATAGATAGGGACTCTCAGTCTGGGGCAAGTGATGCTCTGTATTCTTGGTGCTGGGGTGGGCAACAGTGGGAGGGCGTCCAGTGTCCTGGCCCCACTGCTGGACCTCCTGATGGCACCTGGCATTTTTGGCCACTGTGTGACAGAGTATTAGACTAGATGGGCCATTGGCCTGATCCAACATTGGCTTCTCTTATAGTCTTATGTTATTAAAGAAATTGGTTGCTCTTCCTGTGCTCAAGCCTTCTATGTAACTCAGCCTTTTCCAGTTAAAATCTCTTCTGTTGGAGGGTGGCATTCCCTTATCCTCCCCACGACACCCACAATGGAGATCATATCTTTGCCATAGGCTGCTTAATGCATGCTGGGTATCCTGGAGGGGCACCATAACTGTCAATGTTTTGTATATTTACAGAATTGGTTGCCCTCTCACTGCTTGATACCCTTTGAGATGGGGGCACGGCATGCTTTCATAGATCATCTTTATTCATGAGAAAATATTAATAATTTCCATTGTAGGGCCATTGTAGGAGTTTTGATCACAGCACAGAGCTTGTAGTAAATTAGCATGCAACATCCCTGGCTTGCCTTTATGAGGTAACCAACCACATTAACATTTAAAATGCTAATCATGAAATCATGAATTAAGGATGCTTATGATTTGTGGTAGAAAGACCTATGCATGTATTTACAGTCTACAGAAATGCATACTTAAAAAATGAGAAAATTGAATAGGCCAAAGCTATAACCTAAAGGGGTGTATGATGACCTCGCCCTCTTCCCTCCCTCAGATGCAGGATTTTCCCTCCGTTTTTCTCTTCCTTTCTGACTGAGCAGCCCCTTTATCTGTTTTCTTCTTTCCTGAGGATCTGTGGCTGTCCCACCCTCTCATGTTGTTGTACTTTTATGCTGGCTTAGCCCACGAACTTGAGGGAAAAGACAAGATCACCCTCTTAAATTTCTGAAATGACATATGAGAGGCTTCAAAAATAAACAAAATATGTTATTCAATGTAGAGGGGAAAAGGTCAGGTGAAATTAGGGGTAAAATGTCTGAGGTAAATCAATAAGAACTCTGAGGTTACTTAAGATTTTCACAAACTACAGTTCATATGTTTCCAGCATGTGAGAGTTCTTAAGCTTTTCACAAAGTCTTAGACTCCTAGAGGTGAGAGGCTTTGGTTTCAGTGTTTCCTAAACACTCCAGTTCAATTTCTTGATTTTAACTGATGCTTCAGGTTTCAAAAGGCAAGGATACACTACCAAGCACCCAGATTCCTTCTCTGAGCACACCTGGGATCACTCCACTCTTTAGAGCTATCTCTCTTTCAGCTGGGCAGAAAATCTCTAACTGGAAGATATGTCCCTTTTCCTGGCCTGAATGGAGGTCTTCACTGATCCACCCACTCCTCCTTGCCAACCTTCCCAGCCCTCAGGCAGTATGAAATTGTTTTCAGTCAGGGCTAAACTCAAACTGTGTTCTCTTCAGCTGTCAGTTCCCAAGTCTTCCTGCTCAACTGACACTACCCAATCAAATTCCTTTGAGCAGCCTGTCACTCAAGGCCCTCCTCTCTGTGAGGCATTAACCCTTCACAGTCCATTACATGTTTATACAGCATTTCTAAGCTTTTAAGTTGCAGTCCGTCACAAGGTGCTTTTGTAGTATCTGGCATCCACAGGTGAAATGTTTAGTAGAAAGTTCAGGAAGTTTCTTACACTCTCTCAGATGATTCAAGAGCTGCTTAAAGAGAATTTATCTCTTTCATTTTGGGGTAACTTGGAAGAGATTTCATGGCAAGTCTAAACGTCATTTTAAAGAAAAGTGAGTTCTCTCTTCTGCTAATGGACATGCATGGAACCCCAGATGATTTATGAGGCCTCCCCTACCTGCATGCATACTTCTCAGCAGTTTCATGTATCCCTCAAGATTAACAGGGTCTGATAGGTCCCACGGTTTCAGACACCCCCATTGTATTTAAACATTAAGGAAAACATCAGAACACTTTTTGGAATGAATGAGAAAATGAAGGCACCCAAACCATCGGGAGTGTATTGGAACCGTGCACATTGCAGAATTCTTTCTATTATAATATGCCATTCTGAGGAAAAAATCACTGGAATAGCATGGGATCAGTTTATGCCCCTCTGGAAATCTTCTATTTCCAACTTATTATCTTAGTTCATTTTTATTCCTTAGCAGTTAGCATTTTCATAGTATGATGCATTAATTTTTTGGGTTTTTACCTGAAAAATTATTTTTTTGGGAAATCCTGTTTGGGTAAAGGGGGCCATTTTGGTTCCATCTGTGAATTTTTGCTACAGTTAAGGTCCCTCCTCTTTGCAAGCCAAACTAGGCTCATCTCTGGGTAATTCTGGAATTTGTCTGCTGTTAAGCTAAATTTTATTTTGTAACCCAGTCACATATATTTGTAGAGGTGGGCTGAGGGAGAAAACATTTTAGACATCCAGTCTAGTTGCATTGTTCGACTGTAGCTGGCAGTTGTAAGACTGCTTACATTGTGTTCTTAAGCTGTTTTTATGCTGTAACAGCTTTAATCAAAGTAATTTTAGAAGCAAGATTCAATTTTGAACATTATTTAAACGTTATGATCCAAAAGGGGGTGTCAGGTCTGCCCCAAGTGCGTTTTCTTTGGTATTAACTGTTTGCATTGTGGGGTACTGCTGACCCCAATAGTTCTTGTGTTGAAATCATATTTGTTTAATAAACAGTAAAGGTTATTTTTTATGTTTAACTGGAGCTGAGTAGTTTGTTAAAGTGGGGGGTACCATGAGGGAGTTGCTTAGAATAATGTATTTGCATGGATGCTGCATGGGTCCTGCCCCACACCCCGACAGTTATTGAGGTATTTTTGTTGGCATTCACTGACTAGTTGGTTATTGTTCTTGGTATTATTTGGTATGACTGTGTATGGTGCTCCCTCTCTGGCCCCAACTCTGTTAGAGAATATTTATTAAAATGAGTTCCATGCGCCTTGTTTCTTTATGCCAGAAATTACCTGTCACTTTGTCAGCTAATGTACAAATTCTTTGCAGCTCAAAGACCATCACCTCGTCACTGTGTTGCAGGCAAAGCTTCAACAGAACAAACAATCCAGCTTTCCAGAAGAAGGTGCAATTTGGGAATGAAAATACCAAACTTGAATTGAGGAAAGTTCCTCCAGAGCTTAACAACATCAGCAAACTCAACGAGCACTTCAGCAAATTTGGGAACTTAGTAAATCTGCAGGTAGGTGATGCCTCTGACTACTTCTCACGATTAGTGTTGCTTCTCCAGTGAGAACTTGAAGGTGAGAGTGGTTCATAATAAACAAGACTTACGGCTTTCAGATTTATTCTGTTTTTGTCATTCATATAGTCTTCTCTTGAAAGCTGTTCTTATTTACGATTGTCCTTTGTAAAGCTCCCTAGCTGCTGCTTCCCTTAGCACCAATGCTCCCTCTAAGCTGTGGAGTCTCGCGAGCAAAATGTTTGCTTTGTGAGCTACTTGCATTAAAGTTGTGAGCGAGCGATTTGGCCACTGCATAAATTAGTTTGCTCTGGTGCCATCTTTCCTGAGCTAAGACAAAAATCTGTGAGCCGGAGGCTAAAACGCTGTGAGCTAGCTCACATGAACTCAGCTTAGAGGGAACACTGCTTGGCACCATTGCCTCCTCTGTCTCCTTAACTGGGGGCCCCCGTTGCCTCCTTTGAGAATGAAGAGTTTTGTAATCCGGCAGGTGCATGTGGGTAGAGAAAGGGGATCCCTCTGTAGATGAACAGATGTGTTGATATAGACATGGTCTTTTCATCCCAAATAGGCCATTTAACCTGTTTGCTGAAAATTTGTCTTTTCGAAAACCATCCCCTCTTCCCCTTCACAGCTGCATGGTAGATAATCGGGAGAAAGGACATTAATTTATAATTTCCAAATAAGCAACATTAAGTATCATTCAGTCGTTTCAGCTGGTGTTCTGAGTGGAGTATGACTAGCCATTCTTTTCCCAGTTTCCTTTATTTCTGATTCCCTCTCCCCCCAGCTCCTTGAAGTGGGGCAAATAATCCTAATTTCACATATACAGTGATGGGATCTGAGCTGGCAGCCACAGACCAAGAAAAGGGACCTTGGGGGTCCATAGCTCGATGGAAATGTTGACCCAACATGCAGGGGCTGTGAAAAAGACAAATTCCATGCTGGCCATCATTAGAAAAGGAACAGAGAATAAAACTGCCAGTATCGTATTGCCCTTATACAAATTTGCAGTGAGACCACACTTGGAATATTGTGTACAGTTCTGATCACCACACTTGAAAATGGATTTTGTAGAGCTTGAGAAGGTGTGAGAAAGAGCAACCAAAATGAGCAGCTGCCTTATGAGGATCGGCTAAAACGCTTAGGGCTGTTTAGCCTAGAAAAAAAGGTAAGGGGGAGATATGATAGACGTTACGCAGGGCATGGAGAGAGTGGACAGGGAGAACCCCTTCTTCTTCTCCCATAGTACTCTTATGTTCTTATGGTGGACCTCCTGACAGCACCTGGTATTTTTGGCCACTGTGTGACAGAGTGTTGGACTGGATGGGCAGTTGGCCTGATCCAACACTGGCTTCCCCTACGTGTTGTCCCCCCCCCCCCAAAAAAAAAGTGTTCCTACCAGGACCTGTGGTCATCCACTGAAGGGTGGAAGGTTCAGGACAGACAAAATGAAATATTTCTTCACATGGTGTATAGTTACTTTGTGGAACTCACTGCCACAGGTTGTGGTCATGGCTGCCAACCTGGAAGGCTTTAAAAGGAGACTGGATAAATTCATGGATGACTGGACTGTCAGTGGCTACTAATCATGATGGATATCTACTCCCTCCAGTACCAGAGGCACTATTGCCTCCGTAAATCCGTTGCTGGGGAGCACAGGCAGGATGTCACTGTTGCAGTCTTCCTGTTTGTGGGCTTCTTGGAGGTTGCTGGTTGGCCGTGGTGTGAACAGAGTGTTGGACCTGATGGTCCTTTGGTCTGATCCGGCATGGCTCTTCTTAAATTCATAAGCCTCCTGGAGTAGGAACTATATTATTTCTTCAGTGCCTTGCTCTTCGGAGCTAAATAACTTTGTAGAAGTCTGGATTTTGCAGCTTCTCCAGGGCACCAAGAGCCTGGATGCTACTGGCTATTCATTGTAAGCTGATGTTCTCTTATTTATGTTTTATAGTGGAGCACTTCCCAGGAGGAATTGCTAGGCTCATGTTTGATTTTTTTGAACTTTGTAGGTTGCCTACCAGGGAGATCCAGAAGGTGCTCTCATTCAGTTTGCCACCCACGAAGAAGCGAAGAAAGCGATCTCGAGCACAGAAGCAGTATTGAATAATCGATTTATTAAAGTCTACTGGCACAGAGAAGGAAGTGGACCACCAATGCCGACTACAGTGCAGAAGGTAAAGCACTCAAAACCCTGGCTCATCGTAATGTTCAGTTATACTTCCCAATTTCTTAAGCATTAATTTTAGAAGTTACTAGATGATGAGCAGAATGTCTTCTGTTGCCCTGCCTTGATCAGTCACGATGACACTTAAATACTACACTTAGACTAAAACTCTACTGAGTAGGTTCTGCAATTGACTTATAAGAATGTATCACTGCAGGACTCTTCTAATGAATTAAGGTCAGAGTTCAGTAGCTGCTTCTCCTCCCGTTTCATAGACTACACCAAAATTAAATATTTGTACTACACAAATATTGAGTTTTGATGGCAGGAAAGTAATCAGAATTGATACCCTTTAAAAAATTAAACACCAGTCATTCCTGTATCGGTTAGTTTGGGTTTATACCTATAAAGGTGCATTTATAGACCTCCAAGGCAACCATGCCACCTTGCCCTATTGAATTTTGCTTTCCATTTGTTGATCTTCAAGTTGTATGTACTATGTGCAGTAGTATGTGTGAAAAGGATCTAGGGGTCTTAGTCGACCATACACTGAACATGAGTCAGTGGTGTGATGTGTTAGCTAAAAAGGCAAACACAATGTTGGGCTGTATCAACAGAGGTATAGTGTCCGGATCACGCAAAGTGATGGTATCGTTTTACTCTGCCCTGGTTAGACCTCACCTAGAGTATCACGTTCAGTTTTGGGTACCATAATTTATGAAGACTATAGACAAGCTCGAATGTGTCCAGAGGAGGGCAATGAAGATGGTGAGGGGTCTGGAGACCAAGTCCTATGAGGAAAGGTTGAAGGAGCTGGGTATGTTTAGCCTGGGGAGAGGACATGACTGAGAGGTGATATGATCACCATCAAGTACTTGAAGGGCTGTCATATAGAGGATGCTGCAGAGGATGTTGCCCCAGAAAGTCGGACCAGAACCAGCGGGTTGAAATTAAATCAGAAGAGTTTTCAGCTAAACATTAGGAAGACTTTCCTGACAGAGCGGTCCCAGGAGCTGGGTATGTTTAGCCTGGGGAGAGGACATGACTGAGAGGTGATATGATCACCATCAAGTACTTGAAGGGCTGTCATATAGAGGATGCTGCAGAGGATGTTGCCCCAGAAAGTCGGACCAGAACCAGCGGGTTGAAATTAAATCAGAAGAGTTTTCAGCTAAACATTAGGAAGACTTTCCTGACAGAGCGGT